CTCCCCTGTTTCTCCGACATTGTTCACTCAAGCCTCACCCAACTTGTTGAGAAAAATAAAATCTGAACCAGCTTGTTGAAAATCATGATGGAGTTCAATGTCTAGCTTCTGATCTCAAAACCAATTTGGAGCATGGAATAAATGGAGACAACGAAGAAGATGTTTCGCACAGACACGAAGCTTTTGGCACTAACACATATCCAAGGCCTCCCACAAAACGTTTCTATCGTTTCGTGTGGGAGGCTTTGAAAGATCCTACTATTATAATCCTTTTAGTATGTGCAGCTCTTTCACTTGGCTTTGGCATCAAAGAAAATGGGCTGAAAGAAGGGTGGCATGAGGGAGGAAGCATATCTGTTGCTGTCTTTCTTGTCATAGCAGTCTCAGCAGGAAGTAATTTCAAGCAGATAGGCAATTTCTCAACTTATGTAAAGTTAGCAACAATATCCCAATTGATGTTGTGAGAAATGGAAGGCGAAAACAAGTTTTGATTTTCGAAATTGTTGTTGGGGATGTTGTTTGCTTGAAGATTGGAGACCCGGTTCCAGCTTATGAGTTGTTCATAGATGGGCACCCGCTACAAGTTGATGAATCCAGCATGACCGGCGAAAGTGAATATGTAGAAGTAAATCTTAACTGAAATTCATTCTTGTTTTCGGGTACCAAGGTTGCTGCTTGTCACATCGGTTGGCATGAGCACCATTAGCCGTGAATCCAATGAGCAAACGCTTTTACAAGGCTGGCTCAACAAGCTAACCTCGGCTATAGGTAAGATTGTTCGGTATTTCACAGGGAGTACAAGATGAGAACGGAAATATGAAGGTCGATGACATTATCATTTCTGTGGTGGGAATTGTAGCTGCTGCAGTAACTATTGTAGTGGTTGTGATTCCTGAAGTCTTGCCATTGGCTGTCACACTTACTTTCGCTTATTCCATGAAGAGAATGATGGCTGATCAAGCAATGGTACGGAAGCTCTCTGCTTATGACACAATGGGTTCAGCCACCGACATATGTACTGTCAAAATGGGCACCCTCACACTCAACCAGATGCAGGGGACAAAGTTCTGGCTCGGCCGAGAATCTATGCAGGAAAGGAGTTCAACTTCAATTTCAGACAATATTCTTGAATTGCTCCACCAAGGAGTCTGTTTGAATACCACAGGTTCTGTTTACAAGTCCACTTCAGGATCCGAGTTCGAGTTCTTCAGCAGCCTACTGAAAAGGTTTCTATCTTGGGCTGTCTTGGGAACTAAATATGGATATTAAGAAGCTGAAGCAGAGTTTCTCAATTCTCCATGTTGAAGCCTTCAATTCAACAAAGAAAAGAAGCGGCATTTCAATGAGGAAGAAGGATGACAATACGATCAACATGCACTTGAAAGAAGCTGCAGAGATGGTATCACAATATGTTCCCATTACTATAATTTCTCTGGAAAAATGAAGGTTTTGGATGATGTTGAAAAAGAAGAAATTTGATCAAATGATTCAAAATATGTCTGCGAGCAGGCTTCGATGCATCGCTTTTGTTCATAAACAAGTCCAAGAAGAAAAGAATGAAGGAGAAAAAGTACACAAATTTTGAAGGACAACAGCTTGACCCTTTTGGAACTGGTAGGTACAAAGGATCCATGTCGGCCTGGTGTCCAGTAAGTTGTGAAAGCTTGTCAGTATGCTGGACTGAACATCAAAATGATCACTCGCGACAATGTTTTCACTGCTAGAGCTATAGCCATTGAATGCGGGATACTTAAGCCTAATCAAGAGATGAATAGTGAAGCAGCGGTAGATGGTGACGAATTTGGCAATTACACGCCAGAGGTGCGATTGGAGAAAGTTGATAAAATCTGTGTGATGGCAAGATCTTCCCCATTTGATAAACTTCTCATGGTGCAATGCTTGAAACAGAAAAGCCACGCTGTGGCGGTTACTGGTGATGGCACAAATGATGCACCGACATTGAAGGAAGCAGATATTGGTCTTTCTATGGGAATTCTTGGGACTGAGGTGGCTAGAGAGAGCTCAGACATTTTCGTTTTAGATGATAACTTCGGTTTTGTAGCCACGGTCTTGATGTAGGGAAGATATGTTTACAATGAACTCTAAACTACAGAAACTTAGACCCCAAATTTCAGGTAATTACATCATCATTATTATTATTATTATTATTTTCTTTTGGTATCTCTCTGTGTGTGTGTGTGTGTGTGTTAATTTGATGGTATCTCACAATAGACATACATGATGCAATTGTAGGGAAGAAGTCCTGGAGGAAGCAAAGTTACTGGCATTTTTTGGAATCTCCATATCCTACCTCTAAACAGGTCATAAATTTTCTGTGTCTTCCTTTATATTCAATTGAAGTAAATTGTCCATGTAGATGCAATACACTCTTGCCTCAACTCGCTACTTGAATGATGTGTACTCTGCATGAATTGTGTGCGAATATTAGATGTTTGGATGTATATGTGGATTTTTGTTTCAGTCATAGTTGCAGTAGTGTTACTACATGGATTTTCTTTGATGTTATTTGATTCAAGTTCTGTTTGTTTACCATGTTTGCAATTGATTTCTGTATTCTATCTATTTTTTCTGTACATGATCTCAAATTTTAACCTGCTGCTATTGACTAATATACTTGCGTGTTTGCCTTGAAGTCCTGTTTTGGTTATGTCATTCTTTCACAGTACATATTGTTCTAGTCAAGAGTCAAAGTCAAAGAAATCAAGTCTTTAGAGCATAACACAACCTTGGTTCAAAGAAATAAAAAAATGAAAAAAAAAAAAAAAAAAATAGTAGTGCACCAAGAGACTAGAGAATACATTAAAGCCTTGATCTTGTGTTTCAATTATATTCCTCTGCTATTTTTGCCCTTTTTCCATAAGAAAGCGAGATCAACCTTTATCACTCAGCAATGTTATGTTGCAAAATATAGGTTTATGTACAGAATTTTTTTTTTTTTTTTGGATAAAGTATCAATAGGTCATAAAGTCTTGTTGAAAATCAGTTCTAGTAAAATTGTAATAAAAATAATTTTTTGTAACCATTTTTTGCATATGTTGTTAAAAATTGACAATTAGTGGCTTTTTTGTCACGGTTTTCATAAATTGTGTTAAAACTTACAATTAGTGACGTTTTTCTGTGACAAATTCTTCAAACTACCGTTGAATGTTTTAAAAATTAGTGACGTGTTTTGTGATGATTTTTTTAAACTCTTGCTAAAACTTATAATTAATGACATTTTTTATGGCAAAATTTTTAAATTCTCATTGAAATTAACAATTAATGACGTTTTTTTGATAGTGTTTGACGAAAAATGTCATTAATTATCATATGACGTATTGGATAATAAGGCCACCTATTAGAACCTACAAATGAGCCCCCTTTTTTTTTGCTCTCCTTCCTAAATGCAAGTTCCAGCTTTTCTTGTCCAACTAATATGGTGAAGAATTCTTTTACTTATTTATTTTTGGCTTAATTGATGCACTCTGAATTTGCAAATACTAGTTCTAAACATCTATTTGATTACATTTAAAAACACTTAAAAGTTTGCCTGGGCTTGAACCTAGCCCACTAGGCCATCATTTTGAAATCTGGCCCGATCCATCGGTCCGCTTAAGGTCCACTTAAGACCCGGCCCAAGGTTCAGTATCTTTTTTTAATGAAAAATAATAAAATTTTGATAGAAAAGGTAAAAAAAAAAAAATTGTTCAGGCATGTCCAAGTCCGAGCCTAGACCTAGGCCCACTGGTCTGGCCTGCCCAAAGCCCGAATACTCCCTAGGTTTGGGCCTATTTTTTAACCCGTGGGTTGGCCCGACCCGACCCAAATTTTAACGGGAGCTAGTGAGGCCCACCATGGGCCGGCCCAAGCCTAGGTGGGTCGGGTCGGGCCAGATCAAATTTACCTCCCTAATTCTGGTATAACATAAAAATTACCAAATTCAATGATCTATTAATGCTAAATGTAAGTTTCGGTGACATTTCCAGACATGTATTGCAACAATTGGCATCCTTGAAATTCTTGTGCTGCCGGGAACTCCTCAATAAGTATCAGAATCTTCAACTAAATTTGTCAGAAATGATGAATGGATTTCTTTCACCAGATCGTAGTGAAATTTTGAGATCAAATGGTGTGCAATATAGTCTGTAAGTTCTCTCTTTCTTTAATGCCTCTTCAAATTCTACTTGTTTTCCCTTTTTGATAAAAAAGACAAATGTTTGAGAGCTCTAAAGGAGCTCTAATTAACGGAGTCTACCATTGATGTGATGTTTTGGCCTTCTTTTTTTTTCTCATTGTCACATAAGTAGAGCTCAATTTAGAACTCTACTTTTAGAGCTCTCTATCAACACCCATATTTATTGCAGCATCTCTCCTTATTTGAGTGAATACTAAAAGGGTGACCCAGCATTGTGGTTTTATTAATTGTTTAGCGTTCCCATGATAAATGAACAAGCTAAAACCGTTCCATAAACTACTTTGTAGGAAATTTACTAAGGAAGAAAAAAAAAAAAAAAAATACAGCTTTTACAATTCCTTATGCAAAAAACCATTACTTACAATACAGTATGGACAAACATAATGATAAAATTAGTTATACCTATGACATATCTTCGGCTACAACCTCCAATTACAAGAAAAGAAAAGAAAAAAAGAAAAAAAGAAAAAAAGAAAAGATTATTGAATCTGATTTTCTGCTAAGAGCCAATTATTTATTACATTGTTTTTAGAGGTCTAATCCCCAAACCAGTATGCCATTTAGGAGTACAAACAGTTTTCAAACTGATTTTAGCACCAGATTGCTTCAAATCAGCTCTGGTTCATAAATATCATCTGACCAAATCTTCTGTATCCTTAAGCACCTCAACACGTAGGATGAATAAAGAACAATAATTTGAAAGATTACCTTCTGGTATGTCTAAGAAAAAAGTACAAGTTTTATTATTTCCTTACATATTAAACCAACACTTACAATACAGTAATTGAATATACATAATGATAACTGTAGAAACACCAATGACATATCAAATATTCATATATACAAGTTTTTTTGTATAGCTCCATTTGAGGTAGCTGAAAAATGGTTTCTCTGGAACAGGTATGCACTTCACAAGCCAACCAATCGGCCAAGATACTGCAGCAAATCCAATACATACTGCCCATTGCCTCCAATTCAACCTCTCTGTGCTCGCAAATTTCTTCAAGAATTCCACCATAACCACTTGAAGAACAATGGTTATCCCAATGATTGCCAAAAACAACTTGCTCCTGTGTATTCCCTTGAAAACATTCTTCTTCTTGAGCTTCCTTGCATTGAATTCATTGAAAACTTGGCAAAGCACGAAAGTATTGAAGATCAGTGTGTCGTTGACATTTGTATTCGCCCCAAAGATTGATTTGCCTCTGAATTGTAAGGTCAATAGCACAGCTACCTGGTAGAATGCTTGAGCTAGCAAGTTCCTCCACATAATGTTGGTGATGAGTGGCTTAGTCCGACCTACAGGTGGTTTTTCCATGAGCTCCTTGGAGGGCTTCTCTGTGGCTAGAGCTAATGCACCCAACGTGTCCATGATCAAGTTTACCCACAATAACTGGACCGCTGTAAGTGGGACTTGACCAGATGAAACTGCTGCAACAAAGTTGATGACAAGGGCAGCAACGTTCACAGTGAGCTGGAATTGGATGAATTTTTGGATGTTGTTGTAAACACATCTTCCCCACTTCAAGACCGTGACTACAGAACCAAAGTTATCGTCCAAAATGACAATGTCTGAGCTCTCTTTAGCCACCTCAGTCCCTTGAATTCCCATAGAAAGACCAATATCAGCTTCCCTCAATGCTGGTGCATCATTTGTGCCATCACCAGTAACTGCCACAACATGGCCTTTCTGTTTCAGGCATTGCACCATAAGAAGTTTATCGAATGGGGAAGATCTTGCCATCACACAGATTTTATCAACTTTCTCCAATCGCTCCTCTGGCGTGTAATTGCGAAATTCCTCACCTTCTACCACTGCTCCACTATTTATGTATTGATCAGGCTCAAGTATCCCGCATTCAGTGGCTATAGCTCTAGCAGTGAAAACATTGTCGCCAGTGATCATTTTGATGTTCACTCCAGCATATTGACAAGCTTCCACAGCTTTCTTCACTTCAGGTCGACACGGATCCTTTATACCTACCAATCCCAAAAGGGTCAAGTTGTTGTCCTTCAAAATTTTGTTCACTTTTTCACCTTCATTCTCTTCTTCTTGAACTTGTTTATGAGCAAAAGCGATGCATCGAAGGCTGCTTGCCGCCATACCTTGAATCATTTGATCAAATTTCATCCTTTCAACATCATCCAAGACCTTAATTTTCCCAAAGAAATCATAGTAATGGGAACACATTGCAAGTACCATCTCTGCAGCCCCTTTCCAATGGACGTTGATCGTATTGCCATCCTTCTTCCTTATTGAAACGCCACTTCTTTTCTTTGTTGAATTGAAGGCTTCAACATGGAGAATTGTACAACTCTGCTTTAGTTTCTCCATATCCATGTTTAGCTCCAAGACAGCCCAAGAAAGAATTGCCTTTTCGGTGGGGCTGCCAGAGAACTCAAACTCAGATCCTGAAGTGGACTTGTAAACAGAACCTGTGGTATTGAAACTGACACCTTGGTGGAGAAATTCAAGAACATTGTCTGAAATTGAAGTTGAACCTCTTTCCTCCATAGATTCTTGGCCGAGCCAGAACTTTGTCACCTTCATCTGGTTGAGTGTGAGGGTCCCGGTTTTGTCAGTACATATGACGGTGGCAGAACCCATTGTTTCACAAGCAGAGAGCTTTCGTACCATTGCCTGATCAGCCATCATTCTCTTCATGGAATAAGCCAAAGTAAGTGTGACAACGAATGGTAAGCCTTCAGGAATCGCAACAACTACAATAGTTACTGCAACAGCTACAATCCCCACAACAGAATTGATAATTTCATTAACTTTCGTCTTGCTTCCATTGAACTCTGTATTTCCATTCACATCTTTTGTATTCCTTGTGAAGTAGCGAACCAACAGCACTATAAGAACTAGGAAAGCAACCACCAAACCAACCTTATCTATGGCCAAGGTTAGCTTGTTGAGTCGAGCTTGTAAAGGCGTCTGCTCATTGGTGTCGCAGCTGATTGTACTCACCATCTCACCCCATGTTGTGTTCATGCCAACCGATGTGACAAGCATTCGGCCAAACCCATCAGCCACCTTGGTACCAGAAAACAAGAATGGATTTTGAGTGAAATTTACCCCTACATTTTCACTTTCGCCTGTCATGCTTGATTCATCAACTTGTAGCGAGTGACCATCTATGAACAACCCATCAGCTGGAACCTGGTCTCCAATCTTCAAGCAAACAACATCTCCAACAACAATTTCAAAAATCGAAACTTGTTGCCGCCTGCCATTTCTCACAACGTCAATTAGGATATTGTTGCTAACTTTAGATAATTTGAGAAATTGCCTATTCTGCTTGAAATTACTTCTGGCTGAGACTGCTATGACTAGAAAGACAGCAGCAAATATGCACTGCTATGACAAGAAAGACAGCAACCAATATGCTTCCTCCATCATACCACCCTTCTTTCAGCCCATTTTCTTTTATGCCAAATCCAAGTGACAGTGCTGCACATACTAAAAGGATTATAAGAGTAGTATCTTTCAAAGCCTCCCACACGAAACGATAGAAACCTTTCGTGGGAGGGCTTTGATATGTGTTGGTGCCAAAAGCTTCGTGCCTGCTTGAAATATCTTCTTCGTCGTCGCCATTTATTCCATGCTCCAAATTGGTTTTGAGGGAAGAAGCTAAACCTTCAACTCCATCATATTTTTCAACAAGCTGGGTTAGATTTTTCTTGTTGACAAGTTGGGTGAGGCTTGACTTATCAATGTTGCTGAAACAGGGGTGTGGAGGTTCAAAAACATCGATGACAACGACTGGGTTAGAAGGAAGAATAGGGGATACCTTTTTCTTTTTGTTGGCTTCCAAGCAAGCAGAGAAGGCCCTGGAACAATAGATAGTAGCAAAAGCCATATGCCATCTCTGTTTGTTTTTGTTGCTAAGGCAAGTGGTTTGTAAATTGAGTACAGAGTCTAAACCAGTCAATCTAGATTGAAATATTGAAAGCATGCTTTGATAACACAAAAAATGGAGATTTTTGTATCGAAAGAAAAATAATACTATAATTAATAATGGTGTATGTAGGCAATTGTCATTCCCTTGGAGCCTATATTTATACGCGTTGCATACCGCTTTGGTAGTTAGTTCTTGGGTAGTTCACTTAAACAAATACTCGGTGGTGCGCAATGTCGATTGGTGTTAAAAGTCCATAGTGTGAATAATACTAGGTGCAAATAAATTGTAGGGTAAATTACACTTACCTCCCATGAGGTTTGAAAAAAAATCACGGTTAGCCCTAAAAGTTTTACATAATTATATTAATTTTTCTTTTAGTAAAGTTAAAATGGTTAAAACTAATACAAATAGTGATAGAAATTGAAAGATAAATGCTAGAGACCCACACTTTAAGACTTACAAATTCATCTACAATGATGTGGCAAGAGAATTTGGTTTTATATCATTGGGTGTGTAACAAATCGAAAATTAACATCTATATACCACATCATTATAGGTCAAATTGTGATAAATTTTTGTGGGCTTCAAACATTTTCTAAACTGAAATAAATAAAAATAAATATATATTTTAGCGTAAAAAGATGATAATATTATTTTTTCATCTCTATGTCTCACGAATTACGATAATTTTTTTTAAGTATTACGTAAATTAAAATCTCGAAAGAATCTAGTGTAATTATATAAAAAATATGCGGCTAATTATATTTTTTTCCAAATCTTAAGGAAGACAAGTGTAATTTATCTTAACATATATTATGTGGCAGAAATATTCTATATTGAAAATAAATCTAAAACGCACCATTCTGTATATATTTTATTTCTAATTCCGTACATCTAGCACTTACCCAAGGGAAATAAATGTAGAGTATCATCATAGAAGAATTAAATACAAATTACATATTATTTTTTACAATAAATTTATCTGGATCAGTAGTGAGCCCACAACTCCAGCCTTCAAACGGAAGACACACGGTTCATCAATTGCGTAATGTCGACTTCTCTTAGGGTTAAAGCTTTGATGCAAATCCAAGAACTGCAAGAAACCAGTGAGAAGCTCACTTTTTTTTTGTTTATGTTTTTATTGTTTTTGTTTTTGTTGCTTTCGAAAGCAAAAGAAGAGAGGTCACCTTTTTTTTCGTCAAGTTGTTTGGGCAACAAGTTCTCTGGTCACGAAGGTGCTTAGATGCTCCACCCATGGCATTTTTTTACGGGATCTGTGGTTAGTGCCTGGTCTTTCATTGGACTTTTTCGGTACAATTTATTATAAGTTTAAAGTTGATATTTAAAAATTAAAAATTAAAAACACATCTTTCAGAATTTGTAGATAATCAGTTTTTTTTCACTTTAGTTAAGTTATAAGAAAAAAAAAGTTACATCAAAAGTTTATAAACTCTTAAATTAAAATAAATTATAATCAATTTATTAAAAGTATAACAAACAAACAAGGGCAATAAATGTGTTGCGAATCACATGCACCGGTCTCTTTACCTATTTACACCGATTTATGTGGATTCATCCTACTTGATTACAAGTAAATAACCCAAAAATATCTAAGAAATTATTCAGCATGTTCTTTTTTTTTTTTTCTTTTTTTAAGAAAAAGAAACTAATTTGATAAAAATAAATACCAAAAAGGTATTTTAAAATTTTTAAAAATTATTTCTAAATTCTCCAAAGATAAAATTATATAAAAATGATAAGTATTTTTAATTATTTTTTTTCTTTCACCAAATTAATTTTTATTTTATTAGAAAAAAAATTTAAAAAAGTTTTTGAAAACCAAACCAAACATGATAATTTCTATATTCTGAATAAATATATGAAAACTTCAAAAACACAAACAGGACTATATAACAAAAATAGGTATGGATATAGGCCACAATTATATTTGCATATAAGGTATTACAAAACTTTGATTTTCAAGGAAACTTCAACTTTTCATTTCGGAAAATAGATATGCATACATATATATATATATATATATACACGGAGACCAAGCCAATCCAAGTGTAGTGAAGAGTACTGTCTTGAACCATAGTTCTAAATCGCGGTATTAGATAATGTAACGGTATCGATCGCGGAGTATCGGTATAGGTAGTATCAACCAATACGTATCGAGAATCGGGTGTTGCGGCCGTGAAATTTTAAAACTTATTAGCAATCTCTCTAAAACTTAATTTTATGCATTTTTTTGACTTTTTTAGCATTAATTTATCACATTTTAATCAAAATTTTGATATGTAGGAGTACTTTTGACTCATTTTTAACTAAATGATATGTTAAACTTTTAATAAAAAAATTGACGTGAAAATATTTTTTTACTTATTTTCAACAATGAAATACTTCCAAAATGCACAACAAATCCACCATAAACACAAGCACCTTCATATACTTGAGAGTACCTCTATCTTCTTATCCATTTTATTCTCTCATACCATAATATAAATATAACCACAAACATTAGGAAATTAAAAAAAAAAAAAAACAGGGCAAAGAAGAAGCGTGCATAGAAGAAGCATAGAAGAAACAAAACAGAGCATAGAAGAAGCTTGCATAGAATCCAAATAGAAGAAGAGAAACCAACAGCAACTCAGGAATATTAAAGAAATATTGATGCGTGTTGACAAGAGAGGTACAAATTACAACTCCATGGCTTCAATCTTGTTGTGCTTTGTTTGGTCTAGCTTCGGACAGGTGGTTCTTTGCTCCAATTTCATCTGTACCGACGATGGCAAATCTGTATCGGAACTGTATTGCTCCATGTATCGGATTCAGGCTGATATGTACCGGGAATCGGATGCTACGACTGCGAATTTCAATCTCACCGGTATATCGGTCCATATTCGAATCGGCAGTTCATTTTTCTGGTTCGAATCAGCCGGTACGGTACGTACCGGCCGATATTTAAAACTATAGTCCTAACCATTGGGAGTTGGTTTGGATAAGTGGAGTTCTCGGTCATGAAGATGGATGACCATCCCATGATTCAAGGGATGGATTTCATGAGGAAGAACAATGTGATGTCAGTCTGGCACGCAGCAACCATGTTGTTTGCAGGTGATCGATCGTGTGATGTCCCTTTGGTGGCAATGAGTTAGCTACTCAAAGACAAGGAGAAGTCGATTGCAGCAATGCAGCAAAGTGAGCAGCATGACAAGAGCAATGACAAGGTGGAAAACATCAGCAGCAATGGAGGACAGAGATCATACTGAGACATGGTGACTCTTCTACATGATGAGGGCGTCACAAGACCGGATGAGGGGAGAGTGTTACATTTTGAGAATTTATGCGACACAGGAAGCAGCGTTTGAGGTTTATGACAGGTGCTATAAGGTTTCGAGAATGTGCTAGAGTATGCTAGAAGGCTCTAGAACGTGGTAAAAGGGTTTGGAGTGGCCTAGAAAATCCCGAAACGTGGTGAAAGAACCTTGAACGATCCAGAGGAGCCTGGGTGAGTTTGGAACATCCTAGAATGTTGTAGAGAAGCCTACTATGTACTACACTAAGAATTCTAAAATGTAGTAGAAGGTAGTTGTCCTAGATATTTCTATGAAAGGTTCTAGAGAAGACTTTGTAGCTCTTGGATCAAAAAGATCCTAGCCATCCATTGAGGAGATGGATGGCTATATAAGGGGCGAGGCCTTATTTGTAAGGATCATCCAAGAGGAAATCTAAGAGAGCTCAACAGTGAGTGCCAAGAGTGAATCTTATACTTTGTGTGCTAGTTAGTGTGGTCGAGACTCGCTAACAAATTATCTTGGTTTTGGTCAAATTAACGTCCATCAAGCCAAGATAGGTCATTATGGGATCATGAGAGCAAACTCATAGCGGCTGTACATTCCCTGCCTCGAAGATTATTTGGGTTTTGCCGTTCAAATAATCAAAAAAGTTACAAAAGTATTTTGACACTCAAAACACGTTGCAGTTATACAAAGTAATATTTTGTGCTAGTCCACACGACAAGTTACTAAACTGTCTAAAAATTTAGAAATTTGTAGAAATCATTATTTAATGTTTCCCCTCACTACAGGAAATAATGGTTTTAATGACGTTTATTTAACGACGCTTTTTAAAACGTCACTTTTGTGATATTTAACGATGTTTTATAAACGCTGCGTATTTTTAGAATTAAAACGACCCTGTTTCAATAATAGAAGGCGTTTAAAACGCCTTCAAATGTCTACACCCTCCCCCATTTCTCTCTTTTCAAACCCTTATTATAAATCCTCTGGAAAACGATCGACTCACTCTCTCTCTCTTTAAACTCTCTTTAAACCCTAATCTCGCTTTGAGTGATTTCAAGCTCCATTGCAGATTCTCAGTAAAATTCTCTCTCTCTCTCTCTCTCTCTCTATTTATACGAGACCTGTACATACATTGATGTGGTATTTGATTTATCGTTCAGATGTTCGGGAGCTTTATCCTGATTAGGCTCCATCGTCTACAAAGGTGAGCACCACTGTCTTTCTCTCTCTCTCTGAAGCTCTTCATTCCCAATTTTGTTGAGTTGGTTGTTGATTTGGTTGATTTTCGTTTGCACAGGTCAAGGCATTGAGAGAAGGAAGAAAGGTTCAGAGTTATACCTCCCTTTTCTCTCTCTCCTTCCCTTGTTAATCTGAAGGCTTTCGATTTGGTTGTTGCTCTGTTTTATGCCCAAATGATTAAATCACTATATTTTTCATATAAACGGACTTGATTTCATCGGTTGAGTTTGGTCCAACCACTGTATATAACTGTTGCAACAAAAACCAGTTTTGCAAAGGTGCCCAAACTAGTGGCCACCCCAAATCGAGAATTGTGCTTTGCCTTAAAAAAATTCCTCTGAAAACGACTTCAATTTTCTTTGATTAAGGGCTTGTGATCTTCAATACACACACTACAATAGTTACTAATTGGAATTTTGGAACTCAAATATATATATATATATATATATGTATCTGACTGAGAAAACACTTTATCTTGAAGTTGAATGAAATGGAAATTGACAACTTTTTAGTTGGAAAAAAGTACCAATTCAACATTTTGTGACCTTGTTTGCTTACTCTAGGCCAGAAATGGTTTTAACTGGTAAGGTACTAATCAAAATTTGAAGAGTTCCATGCGTGGAAATAATAACATGGAGATTGAGTCATGAAAAAAATGACTCGTACATTCAACACTAGTAAATAGGGAACAGGATCCAACATTTGATGCATCCCAATATATTTATTCAATTCAACTAAAAAAAATCCAAATAGATAGCATACCCTGTCTTTTTGAACTAATATGTTCACTGTTTAAAAGTAAATAAAAGATTGGTGCAATTATTTTAATACCATAACTTATAAATTACATTTAGAAGATTGTCGGACATTGTGCACTATCTAGTAAAATCATATACTTAGCAACTGAGTTTAAGCTCAAGATCATTTGATATACTAAATGGTAAGGGCATAATTATTAAAGGGACACACCTAGTCCCCAAAAGGCTTAAGGCTTGTGATGTTCACTACACACACTGCTTTTCAATACTCATTGACTTCGTGGATTGTCTTTGGCCTAGAGACCGAAAGGTCTTCTCTAGCTTCACTTCAGCAGAGGTTATATATATATATATATACATATGTTTAGAGCTGTTTTTTCATTTGTTTCCTTTATGTGGATCTTATTTACTGAAATTCAAAGTTTGTTTCAGCATTATAGTCTATTGAATCGATGATAAAATGTTGTGGGAGAGTTATATCAACTGTTAAGTTTGATGCATTACTGGTTTTTGTGTTATACATTGTAAAAAAAGTGAGCTTTTAAATTGTAGGCAATGTGGGTATTCATGAATCATTGATACAATTGCATTTTATTGAATATACACTAAAATACTGGATTAAAGTGTGTTGTGCTGCTGATTGTGCATTATTGGGTTTGTGTTGTTTTATGTGTAAGTTTATTGGATTGAGTATAACCCTCTGGATTTTGTCTCTAATCTTTTACAACTTTCAAAATACTACTTAGGCTCACTGCCATTGTTGGGGGGCCATAGACCACGGGTGCACCTGCTTTCAACTTATTTTGTTTCTGCTACTTTCTTACTCTACTTTCAACTTATTTTGGAAATTTCACATTTTTATTTTACTAGTGTTAAAAACTTCAATTAATTTGGGGCACCCTCAAGTTAGGGAGTTATCTATTACTATATGTTGAGTTTTTCTTTTGAGTTTTCTAAAATTTAGTTAAATCTTGATTTGGAGGAGGATGTTTGTTGAAAACAGGTGAATGGAGAGATATACAACCATGAGGAACTGCGCAAGCATTTGCCTAAGCACAAGTTTTGGGCTGGTAGTGATTGTGAGGTTATCGCACATTTGGTTCGTACTCTCTTATTACCATAGAAATTCTTCATACTGTTTACAACAATGCCAACTTACAGAATCAAAAAATTCAAGAACTACCATTAAAAAGAAAAAAAAAAAATGCCACACTGTGTTACCTTCTCATTTTCCTAGAAATTTTTTTTTCTATTTCTTAGGAACCAAAAAGGGTTGAAAGTATTTCATTCAATTCTTAGTTTAATAGCTAGCTATCTGAGCTAACAGTGTCACATTCAATCTCATTTCATTAGTATGAAGAGTATGGAGAAGAGTTTGTGGACATGTTGGATGGAATGTTTTCATTTGTGTTACTGGATACCCGCAACAACAACTTCATCACTTAGTAGTCATCCCACTGTTCGGCCAATGCCACATCAACAACAATCTCAAACATTTTCATCCTAAGGTGAGCAATCATTTAACCAAAGCTTTTTGACAATACAAATCTTATTAATTAAAATACTTGTTCTTATTAAATGTAGGTTCACCTTTCAAAGAAAGAGAAGAAGAATAAGAAGAAGAAGAACTAACAAGGTCAGTAAGGAGTTTGAATATTATTTGTTCGAATAACATTACTATATGCACATGCTTAGTTTTTCGTTTATTTCATATTGTATGCATCTTCTCTAGAATATTTATCATAAATTTTCTACCCAACTACACTCAATAAAATTTTCTCATACCAAGAAAACGAAAACCACTACCTAACTACACCTAATAAAATATAATTATACAGTTAAATTTAAGGAAATGAAAACAACTAACATTCGAATTTCTTTTCCCTTCCTATAATCATATATTCCTATTCATGTGTTTTCTCAGCAACCAAACACAGAGTAAGTATTGAAATTTAAAACCACCAAAGATTTACAAATACAATTATAAAGTTAAGTTTAAGGACATGAAAACAACTTGAAACATTCAAATTTCTTTTCCTCTCCTACAATCCTATATTCCTATTGTTGTAATTTAAAGACTGATGAATTTTTGTTTTTAAGGGGTGAATGAAGTGAAGTAATGAATTTTTCTAATGGAACTTCCTTAGTATGACCTTAATGTTATATGAAATGATGACTTCTAGATGTTTGATGTCTTTGTTAGATGTAAAAAATATGTTTGATTGTTTTCCTTATCAGTCAAAATTTTAATTAGGATTATAAAGAATTAGGGAGCTTTGGCAACAAATGTTATGTTAACTACTTAGGCCCATTACGATTGTAAGGACAGAAAGTATGAACAAGTAGAGACCTTGTTTCTATTGAGGACTTTATGCCTTTGGTGTAATCCCAATTACTGCAAGTTATGACTGCTAAAGTTCTTATTGTGTTCTTAATTTCTTATACATAGAAAATATAGGCATAACTAGCAGAATAAACAGTGTGGTAAAAATTCAAAGTCACAACACAACTAGTTGAAAAGTCCAATGGTATCAAATTAACCTAGTGCCCTGTTTGATTATAGAAAAAGTAAAGGAAACAAGGGGAAAAAAATCATTATATACACAGTGATAGTTCAAACATCCATGAGGCTGATAGTTCGACTGTAGTTTCGATTTTCTTTTGCTTTTTTCTTGCATTTTCTAGGTAACCAAATAGAATTAAATGAAAAATAAATATCAAAAAAGAAAAAAAGAAAATAAAGAAAAAGAGGGGGATAAAGGGTTTACATGAGTCTGTTGCTAGTTTTGACCAGTTTTGGTGAGGATACATGAGTCTACAGATTTGGCATCTTTAACATTTAGTGGGATACATGAGTTTGCATTATGGTTAAAAAATTCAGTATAAACATATGATATACATATGGCTGCACCTTCAACTGATCCCATCATACCACCACTGCATTTGTTGTGTGGATGTAACTGTTGCCCTTTTTAGCATCGCTTTTGTCTAGCTACTATACAACTTAAGCCTCTTATTGAATTATAGGTTGTGGTTTCACTTAATAGTCATCCCACTGTTTGGCCAATGCCATATCAACAACAATCTCATACATTTTCATCCAAAGAGGTGAGCAATCATTTAATCAAAGCCTTTTTGGCAATACAAGACCCTATTAATTAAAATACTTGTTCTTATTAAATGTAGGTTCACATTTCAAAGAAAGAGAAGAAGAAGAACTAACAAGGTAAAAGTTTGATGTCCCTTTCTTTGAATAATAGGTTGGAACTGTTTATTTGAATAGGTTTATTGAATAGGACAAGAACTTGAATATGGCAAATGGAAATGCTTCATATGATATTCACCATCCATGCAGGTACTTCGATACATGTATGTTTGGTTCTCTTTGATGTCTTTTTTATTTTGTCATTATTATTACTGTTTTTTTTAACTAACCTTTAAGTGTTTTGAATTGCCTGAAGAGTTAATGATGCTATTCAGAGAGAACTTCACAAACCTGAGTCTGATCGCTCTTGCATACATCTAGAGTTCAATATATCAGGAACTGGTAATATGTAAGTTTATGGCTGCTTAATTCATGTAATCGAGGTTCAGATTTAATTGATTTATATGTATTGGATCATTGTGCAAGTAGTTCATTATATAGCTTTTTATGTGCAAGGTAAAATTAAAATGAAAAAAAAATGTGGAAGAATTCCGTGCTAATAAATTCTATTATGCATTAAGATCCGTATTAGTTCAGGAATAGCTAGGTTTTAGTAGTTGACCGACTATCTTGAGTGCAACTGTGCAATACATGTATATTGTGCAGGTCTAACATCAATGTGGATGTTGGTCTGTGTTAGTTAAAATCGTATTTCAATTGCCTTGCTTTCATTATGTATTTATGTGGCTAGTGGACCTTCATTATTTTTCCTTACCAACATATCCTTAAAGTCTAAGAAGGTTTTGCTAGTCTTATTTCATTATTTTTCCTTACCAACATTTGCGAATGTTTTTTTAATTTATACAAAAACCTTCTGTTTTTATTCTTTGTTTTTTATTCATCATTCTGATTTTTGTTTCTATTTTTTTGGGTTTATTGAGGTTTTAGAGATGGGTTTTTGTTTATTCTCTGTTTTTTTAATTCATCACTCTGATTTTGGTTGTCTTTACCTTTTGGTAGAGCTAATACTTTTGGACTTATGTCATTGCTAATGGGTCATTGGATCATTTTTGTGGCCAAGATTTGCATTAAATCATTGGCTTGAGCCAGCCGTTTCTATCCTTGTGTAGCAGACTCAAATGTTTTGGAGAGGCTGTCTCTACAACACCTTACAATTATTTGCTTATTATTGTGCTAATCAAGATTGTAGAACATTATTGTAGAAGTTCTGTTGAAATCATATTTTTCTGCTTGTTTTGTTGAATTTGTTTTTTGACAGGTTTGCAATAAATGTGTGTGATACAATATTTTTTCTTTTTATTTTTTGGTTGTGTTTGTTGTTTGATTTTGGTTTAGAATAATTGAGAGGGTAGTTTATATGCATAGATTGGGCCGAGCTAGGTCCATTTTAAGCATTGGGCCGAGCTAAGTAGACTCTTCAATTCGTTGGGGCACGTTTCTGGCCGAGCTAAGAGCTTCAGTAGCTCGGTCTTGAGGTGTACAGATTTCAGGCCAAGGACTGGAACAGATGGACTAGATGTAAACAGCAGTTCGGACTGGGATATAATTTGTAGTATATCGAACTGGGGTTTATCTCGATCGAATACCATCTTGGTTCTGTCCAGCGTAGGACAGGGCCATTATAGCTCAGTTGAGTGTGCTACCGAACCGAGGTGGGGGGTTTGATCCATCTCACTTGGTTGGTAGTGAGTAGGGTGTTACTAGGATGGATATTATCCTTGGAAGTGTGATTCCCAGCAGGACTTTGCTAAGGAGAGATGAAGTTCTACTAGGATTGTGCTAAGCAGAATCTATAAAAGCTTATAACAGGACCTATATATAGGTATCATAATTTTTACTCTAGAATACACAGAGCTTTTGTGTTTATTGTTTATTTGCTGACTTAGGCATCAGAGAGGTTTCCGGCACACCCCTGCCAACTAGCTCACGTTTGTGTTTTCAGGTGGCAAAGCGACGATGTTTGGAGGAGTGCAAATTGATCAGCAGGATCATACGTGTAATAACCCTCACCACTGTTTACTGAAAAGCTATTGATTACTGTTAAATTAAGGCTAAATATGTTAATTGACTGACTGACTGAAAACTGAAGCCGAATTGATTGAGTATATTAGTTAAATTGCAACTCTATCTGTTTGACTGTTTAATTAGCTGTTCATGTTTTATGCTTTAAACTGCAAATTGAAGACCTTATCGGCGGCCGAATCCGAAATTGATTGATGATTTATTATCATTAGAATTTATGTGATTTTATGGTGTATTTATCCGAAATGTGATTTGGTATGCTTAAATTAGATTAAACGTTGATAGATTGCACCAATTGACTTAATTCACCAAAATGCCACACTAGTGGCCCACTATCTAAACACATTTGAGCCTTCTTCAAACATACTTCTTCAGCCATTTTGAGTCCCATAGCCGACTAAAGTGAGAGAGTGTGAGGGATTGAGTTCAACTTGGAGAATTGGCTAGAGAACTTGAAGAAATTGTTAAGGATTTGTGCAATTGAGTTTCTATACTTGAATACAAGACTCAAGGTAGAAATTCATCTTCTCATTCTTGTGTTTAAATTGATTCTTGCATGGTTTAGAGCAAAGTTGTAGACTAGAGCCAATTTATGGCTCAAATTGTTGTGTTGAAGCTTAATTGTTGCATGCATGTATATATATATTGAAGTTATGAGGTTGTAGTTCATAATTCCTCACATGCATGTCTATGTTTTGAGAGTAGACCATGATTTCATCTTGATTTTGTAAGAATTGGCTCATTAGAGCAAGTGTTGGAAGCTTTGAATTGGTTAAAGTCATGCATGTTTGCATGCTCTTCATATTCATGAAATTTAATTTTAATTTGGGCTCAATTGATCTTCCTTTGGGGCTTTGATTTTACATTTGAGCTTTGAATCATGTTAAACTTTGAGTTTTGGAATGTTTTCTAGAAAATTGGCCCAAATAGTATGGTTTTGATGCATCTTAAATTGAATTTGAGCTTGAGGTTCAAATCTGGGAATTCCAGATTTTGAACTCACGCTCGAGTGGGGTGACCAGCGCTCGAGCGTGGAAATCATGCTCCCAGCATTTTGTTCTGTTTTTAAGTCAGCTCGAGCGGGGTAATTTGCGCTCGAGCGGGACTTTGTGTATTACGCTCGAGCGGGTGTCGAGCGCCCAATCGAGCGTGAATTTCACCTATCCAGCACTTTTGACTGTTTTGCAGAACGCTCGAGCGGGTAAGTCTACGCTCGAGCGGAAACCTTTGCCTGCATGTTCGCTCGAGCGGAGTAACCTACGATCAAGCGTGAACCCTGTTTTCTGAAAATGCTTTTAAAGTGTATCTTGGCATCCTCATTTCATCCTAGGCATTCTTAGGCCTAGTTTAAGGCATCTTAAGGAGGATAGTGATGTAGAACCACACCGAGGCAAAGTAGGGACTAAGTCTTTGTTTCCCGAATGTGAACTTAGTGTGTGTTCATCTTGTAAACTGTGTAGGGTTGGCATCTGAGGACGCGCTCTAGCTCAACTGTAGCCCAGAACTCTATGAGTAACAATTGTGTAAAGATATGTTCAAATATGAATATCTTCTGAATGGTTAAACTATACTGTTTCCGAATTGATACTGTTAACTAAATGAATGTATGTCCTCTATTTGAACTGTATTGTGGCATCCTTAGCAACTACTGTTACTGTTATAGAGATCTCTATCGGTTTCCATATTGGAACCACTATTGTTTACTGATATGATGGCCATCATTGACTGCTCGGTCTTTTAAGACCTACTGTTTACTGTACTGCTATGCTAATGGATGTACCACATATGACTGAATGACCGAAATACTAATTTAATGAACTATTTTCATTACTGTAAGGACATTCATTCTTAACCTCTTTACGCATTACTTTATTCACTGGACTTTAGCTCACTATTTATATATATATGTAGGTGTATAGGCACCAGACCGGAGCTAGGAGTGTGGGTTAGACTCCTTTTTTGTCAAGCCAACTACTGTGCCTCACTGTGAGGTTCCGAGCCAGTCAAGCTATGGCTTAGGGGTGTTTTAATTTCCCCCATCTATCTCTGTATCTGTTTTGTAATAACTGTTTAGACTGATAGTACTATACTGTACTGGTTAACAGGGATTAGGTCCTTGTTCTAATCGACTGTAAATGTTGTACATACTGTTCTGTACTGTTCATGTATATACGTATGAAAAATCTTTTTGCATACAGACTCACAGCTCATTGGACATTGTTTACTTACTGTTTTGGCTTCTGCCATGCCCCTGTACTCTGTATTACTGTCTTACTGTTAAGCAGGCCTTCGGACTGTAGACACCCCATTTTTGACCGACCTTAAGACTCAGACATCACCGATTGAGTGCTTGGTGATGTTGCATATTGTGCTCGTTCGGAAGTCGCGGAGTCTTGGCTGCGAGCCTTGCCTTCGGACTTTTGGACTCTTTCACGCCTTACCTCGGTTTGTGAACCAGGCTCAGTTTTCTCTGTTTCTCTTCCCGAAGAGAGGGAGAGGTTGCGTAGATCATCTCTCGGTGGCCATAGGCTACGTTTCGTGGTCATAGGCCATTTTTGCCCGTTTGGAGTCCGGTTTCCGGTTTTTCGGAATCATTGGCCGTGTGCCTTGGTTCGGGACCGCTTAACCACCTCCGTTCGCTCTGATTTTTGGCATACATCTTATTTGCTCCATTTTGAGGGACACTGTGGCTCGAAAAACCGACTTCGTGGTCGAACACCACTCCGGTGCCTAACAGTCAGTTTTCGGGGCCTCGAGCTGTGCGTTTCGGCCCCCGAACCTTCATTTTGTATCGGTTTTGGTTCGTTTTTGGTAGGGACCTCTGTTTCATTGGTAAGAAGGTTGTAGAAGGGTGGGAGGCCAACAATTGTTCAGACAACCAGTTTTATTCCTCCATCGACCTCCGTCGCCCGTTTTTCCTCACTTCAAAGCCATTGTTGACCACCCTTGGGCCATTTTCTTGCACCCTAAATCCCATTTTTGTGATGTACACATCTGGGAGGCCACCAATATTTGGTGGCCGGCCAGTAATTTCTTTTGGACCTTTTGAACCCCTTGGAAAATTGGGTTGTTCTCTCTCCTGGTTCATTGTCTCCAGTTTTTAACTACATGGTTGTGTTGTGCACACATCAGAGGCTCTCTTTTTGGGGTGGCCGGTCACTAATGCTTCTTGACCCTTTTGACCCATAGCTGACCGGCCATGGGAGGTGGCTGGCCGGCCACCTAAACCCTAGATAACTGGCTGGCCAGAATCCTTGCATCAAGTACAGTGCAGATACACTCTCCTTTATCCAGGGGGGCCAACTTTTGGAGGGAAACTTGGCTTCATTTCCCTCCATTTTTCCCTCCCTTTTCCCCCCCTCTTTTGCCTATATAACCAGCCTCCCTGCTCTGTAATAAGGGTTAGAAAAATCACCTTTGAGCTCCCATATTATATCTCTCTCCCTCTACACTTCCAAGCTTAAAACCTCTTAAGTCCTACACCCATTTCTTCACCAACCCATAGCACCATACCTCCAACCTCCATTGCAGCCACTTGAAGCAGTTTTCCAGAGCTAAGGAGCCACCAAACTCAAGCCAAGAGGCGGTCAAGGATTGGTCTTCAAGGGTGAGTCCCTATTTTCTTTTTTTTGTGCTTTATTTTGTTCAATACATTAGCCATACTTTCTTGCTGTTTTTGGCTCCGACCCTAACTGGAGATAGCCTTATTTTGAGGTATTTTTCAAGTTTGTTCAAGGACCTCTCCCTGTTTGAGGCCTCCTTGTTGCACTTGCTTCATTACCTCCCTTGTATGCCATTTTCTTGTGTAGTATTTTTGGCCTATGTATAATCAAGTTTGTTCAAGGACCTCTCCCTGTTTGAGGCCTCCTTGTTGCACTTGCTTCATTACCTCCCTTGTATGCCATTTTCTTGTGTAGTATTTTTGGCCTATGTATAAACTGTTTTGAGCTCTATCATAAACTGTAAAGTGGCTTATTTTGAGCCCTTCTTCAATATTGTTGAAGGACTCATCACTGTTTGAGGCTTCCATTTTCCACTTGCCTTTGTATCTCTCTTTTGGCTCCATTTTTGCATGATTTGCTAGCCTCTTATGCTTCTGTTTTTGGGCTCTTTTCCGAACTAAAAATGACCTTATTTTGACCCCCTCTTAATGTTTCATTAAGGGTCTTTCACTATTTTAGGCATCCTTTTTATACTTTGTGTTATAGCTCTCTTTTTGGCCTTATTTTGCATAGCATTTTGAGTATACTTGTACACTGTTTTGGGTCTGGCCACCAACTGTAAAATGCCATGTTTTGGGTCCCTCTTCAAAATTTTTGAAGGTCCCTCTCTTGTTTGGGGTCAGCAGCTGTGACTTGCTTCTTTATCTCACATTTAGGGCCATTTTCGCATGCAAGCTTAGCCCCATTTGTGTTCATTTTTTGGCCTTGCTTAAAACTGTAAACATGCTTTTTTGGGGGCTGCCTTGAATCTGTCTTCACATTTCATGATCAAATAGTGCATGTTTTGTATAGCTATAGGCCATTGCGCATGCCTAGTTTTGCATTTCGGGTACCATTTCATGCATCGGGTGCCATGTTTCCATGATTCGGGGCTGTTTTGCATCATGTTTCGCTTCTGAAATTTGCATGTTTGCATATCATATTTCATGCCTTGCCATGTCTTGTTAGAGTGGCATTTGGTGCCTTAGGTTCGGTCCTCGGTTTGCGTGCATGTGTGCACGCATTCCGAGTTGTCTCATTTTCATCTCATGGCCTCCTATGTGAGTGTGGCTGAGGTCCACTTGTGTTGGTGTAAGCCCATATTGCATGGTGTATGCCATTTCATTTCATAGCATTGTGTATGCTAGGCTGTATGTTAGCGCATTGTGTATGCCATGTCATCTCGTGCATCGTGTATGCCATTTCATAGCATGTTGCATGTTAGGTTGTATCTTAGTTGCATTTCACGCATATCATGCATATTGCATTGTGTTTGGGATAGGAGTTAGCCCGAGCACGGGAAACGAGGTACGTTCTGTACTCCGAGTGACGGAACGTGTCTCAATTCCCCAGTTACCGACACTCTGGATTATCCATGATGGAGTTAGGTTTTAGTTGAGTTTTCATGTGCATTCATTCTATATTGAGTAATGCAAATCGACTCCTCGGCCATCA